GAATAACTTTATAAATGGTTCCAACATCCTGAGTCACCTACCATCCAGGAAAGGCAAAGTATGGCAATTCAACTGCCAGTAAATACTCTGGGCAGAAGTTAACCTGATTTGAATGAGATATACAAACATTTATTCTTGGAGTACTTACTCTTTCTTGTTTCACTAGACTGTTTTAAAAACCGGGCAACTGAAGAAAACAATTCAGCTCTATAATGAGGGAAGATGAAAGTGGAAACTGAGGGCTTTATGGTAGATATCAGCAAGTCACACTGAGATCTTGTAGTAAACGTATAGAGCACTGAGACAACAATATTCTAAGAGCAATCAGAAAATATCTGTTGGACTCCAGAGACAGAGTCTTTATGAGTTTGCGAGATTTATCTGATGAGCCTTTCCACTTTGGAAGGGAAGTTTAACGKTGTCTTATGAAAGACTGTTCTAATAGAGAAAGATTTTGTGGAATGACATGAGCAATCACCATATAAGAAGGCAGTTATGACTTGTGAGCCCGCTGAGTATATATTAATGTGACTTGATTAATTTCCCTCAGAGTTAAAATCTGCCTAAAACACTAGACAAGATGGCACCCATGAATATTTAGCAATTGTCTCTGCAAAAAATCTCTTTGGAGCATTAAAATTTCCTGAGTTTTATAGGGGATGAAGAAAGGGGTAAATAACACCTCTTCTTCCCTTCTTTGAGAGGTGATATGTCTCCAGGAGACAAATTTACATGATCAACTGAAGGAAAAGGGACTATATCCCTATACTGACCCTGTACTGGTCAGGTAATGCCAGAAAATTACTGCCATATGTGATCTTTCCTTTTCGAGTGGGCAGCCACCAACAAGCAGAATAGCTTACAGATATTAAGGGCCCATACATACATGGGCCAAGTTTTGCTGTTTGTAGTCAGGGAGGTTTCAAAAATAGATGTGAATATAGATCTGGGCTTGAAATGTCTTTAATCATGTTCCTGCTCCCTAGAGTAGAGACTGATTGCAGATTCCAATTTTCATTCCTGGCTATCATTAAAATTTGCAAAAGGTAAGGTTGAATGATATACTGGGCTTCCTGAACCTCTTTCTTATTCAAATCATAGCCACTTCTTGGTTAACAGCAAGAACTTGAATATATTCCTTTTTAATAGATAAATGTGCCAGAGGAACGGATAATGCGTTATATATTGTCACTAACTCCTGCTTGTTTATGCTCAGGGTTGTTTTCTTTAGATCATTTTATATTCAGGGAGACTCCACAGCTACCCTCAGATGTATCAATTTCCAATTAAACAAAAAGAGGTAGAAACATACAAGAATTTGGATCTCATAAGAGTTTTGAATCCACAGTTAGAACACTAGCAGTTATTAGAGGGAGAGTAATTGCTCTCCTTCAAGCTAAGTCTAGCTCTTTTTCCTTCGAGTAACAGTTTTTGAGGTGATCTATATTGGACATTTATGCCTCGATAAGCCAAACAAAGTCACTACAAATCCCAGCAGACATGCTAGATGCTCTATCTTACTTAAAAGTAATTTCTGATTTATAAGCTTTATTTATTTCACTTTAAGGTTTTCTCAAACTGGTTGTCTTTTAGAGAAAACTTCTACAAGTGTCTGGAATTGAGCACGTCAGGGTAATCTCAAGAACGCTATTTGCATTAAGGGAAAGAAGACTAGATTCTCACTTTATTGTACTTCTAAATAATTAATTGGCCTCCAAGGCCACTTAATAAACTTATGACTGGATGTAGCACAACTGGACGTAATAGCATTGTGCAGGCTCTTGAGGCTATGGACATCTTGCATGTCATTACTCTCCTTAGATGAATCACACCTTTCAGATGAACTTGTTGAATATTTTGTCAGTAACGGGGCCAGGATTTGACATTTACAAATGTGTTTCCCATATCTGTTTCGTCTGAGATGTCTCCTCTGTGACCTGCAAATCAGTTAAACTCCATTAAAAAAAAAAAACCTCTTTGAAAGATACTTAAGTGTTTCCAGGCCTAACACTTGTTCACAAGCTGCGTGCTCCTTAAAGATGCTCAAGAGGAAATTACTCCCTACTCTTTCTTTTTTTTTTTTATGCATAGAAGTATGAAATATTGCCATGCTGCTGGTGTCAATCACAACATGATAAGACTGGATAAAAGCAACTTGATTTGGACCATATTTATTTCATTTTCTTTCATCCATTTAGGTTTTACAAGCATTCTACTCACTGAATTTTAAATGTGCATGTTTAATTAAGCCACAAATACATAGAGATTTACGTAATAAGAGAACAGAAAAAATGGAAAAAATGCTGTGTGATTTATCCCACTGATCTAACTGCTTACCCCCAAAGCTGCTGCTACAAGGATCTTCCTTGATGGCCCAGCTACATACTCTTCTTGAATTTTCATTTCTCTGTCAGCTTCTGGTTTTCATCGCATCAGWTTAACACATGAAAATTTCATACAACTCAACCATTTTCTGCTGTTCTGATCTCAGATTTCTTTGTCCTTTATACTTCAGCAGTAACATTTGCCCTAAGGCCATCTATCTGTTTTTGCCCAACTTGTTATGGCTCTTTCAAGAGTCTATTGAGTGTGCTTCTGGAGCTGTTCCAGGGGCTGGATGAATGCCTTCAAGTGAGCTTAAGCTCAGCATTAGTTCTGTGGACTTTAAACCTCTATGTGTTTTCAAATGATTCCAAGTAGCTGATATAGATATARTAGTCTATAAATAATTGATTAATCAATGATGAATGCAATGTACCTCAGAAGCTTCATATGTTTTAGTGCTGGGCATGGAGTGAAGTGTCATGTCCTCCTGCGTTTCTAACGAGGAACACCACCATGAAGTTCTGAGGAATGACATGAGGTTGGAAGAAGACTAGTAAAGTCTCCTAGGCAATGTGCAAATGTGCAACTTCTTAAATCCATACATAAAGAAAATGTGTTGCATAAACATGTTTAAAACTAAACAGTTCTAAGGAGTTTAATGGATTCATAGTCACTGCTAGCTTTACTGGGCTCCATCTACAAGCTACTTCCCAAAGACCAGCTGCTTTGCTGTAGCTGATAACATCTTACACAAGACTCCGCAGGAAGAGAGACTCTTCCAGAACARTGTCTTTGAAGTTCAGACAAATTCAGAGACCAATTTCTTTCTGGGCTATATCACCTGACATAAGAAATGCACAGAGCAGTTTCTGATACAATTTTTAAGGAATGGAACTCAGTAAAACAATTCATTTCAGAAGAAGTCTGTGCCTCACTCCTTTGTGAAGGTTATTGCCATATAATATTTCAGTTGTTGTCTACTTCGACTGCTCCTAGGGAAAAAAAAAAAAATTGGACTTGGTCAATAATACGGAATATACACTTAAAAAAAAAAATTGGCCATTTTATCAAAATTGGAGAAAAGACAAGCAGGTCAAAACAATGCTTATGTTTGGGTAAGGCATGGAAAGTCCTAGTCTTAAAGGTGAATACTGCTGAGAACTGCAGTCTGGGCAGAAGGCTGGGGATGGAGAATGTCACCTTTGTAAGGACACGAACATCTCATTAACTCTGGGACAGAGGGGCTGGAGGACATGCACAGGAGTGGCCAAAGCTGCACTGCAGACACGTTGTTACCAGAGCAGTCCTCAGGTGCATGACTTTACGCCTTGTTCCCAGCATGTAGCTGGGGGCATATAGGGGCGCTCCCATGGAGGTTATCACCTTCCTCCACCTACACACACTTACAGGCAGCAGTGAACTCCCAGCCTTTTCAGCCCCTCTACCTGCCTGAGATTTGCATCCCAAAGGCAATGCTATGAAAGGAGATCGTTGAAAAGCACTTAGCATCTCATTCTCCCCAGTCCATCAGGCAGCTTGTTATGCTGGTTCTTCTTGAAATTAGTATGCTCTAAAAAAAAAAAATGCCATGAATACTGGGGAACAAACTAATACATTTAGTTGAATTTTGCAGTATATTTCACTGAGATTTTTTTTTCTTGAGCTGAAATACAACGAAGACCCTGACTTGGGTATATTGGATATCATCAAAAAAACACAGATCAATACAATGCTCAATTTTCTCCAGGATCACTAGCCTTGAAAAGACAGACTTTCATAAGGCCTCAGATTTTGTGTATGCTCATGAAATATGTGAGCAGATTTTTACGAAGGAAGCAGAAGTAGAGAGAGGAAGAAAGTTGGGTGGGAGCTGCAGGATGATGAGTATTGCTGAGTATCTGATCATTCGTCTGCAAAAAAAAAGCTTTTCTTGAAATCCTTTCACACCCTGGGAGATCAGTTAACAGTTCCTGTTAGGAAAAAAAAAAAAAAAAAAATCGTCTGCAAAAAAAAAGCTTTTCTTGAAATCCTTTCACACCCTGGGAGATCAGTTAACAGTTCCTGTTAGGAAAAAAAAAAAAAAAATGTTGTTGGTTAGGGCTATGCTTTTTACTGTAACATAGCTATATTTTACATACCATGTTAATTGTGTGGAAAAATACATTGTTTAGACACAAATTTAGATACAAATTATTTCATATGGCATTCGACTGTTACTAATAGCGATCTTTTGCTGTGAGAGCTTTAATACAATGTGCATTTATGAACAAAACATATGAACACTATGAACAAAATTAAATGAGGGTCTGTTTTAAAAAAAGTAGATCGTGATTGCCTTAGCAAGATGAGAAAGTGTAATGGGGAAGTTTTAGCATGGAATACAAGGAAGTAAGGGCATCTAGTAGTTTCAGAATCATTACACTGTTGACATCTCAACACAGATTTATTTTGCACTTTATTTAAAGATTGTAATTATAATGTAAAGGCAGTACAGTCCTCAAGCTCCAGATATCCCTCAGGCTGAAGTAAAGACATTACTGTAGGATCTCTCTATCTTTCTGCTGTTACATTTAGCTTATATTTGGCATAAGCTGTTAGCTCAGACAGTTTTTAAAAGATGTGCAAGAAGTAATATAAATATGTTCTGCTCTTAATTGAAAATGCAAAAGGCAATAAAACATTTAGAGCTCTAAAAATGTAAAAGCTGGAACAAAAATAAATCCATTCATGTCCTATGACATAAAAATGATCTCCAACCTGATACGTCAGTTGAAGTATTTGTCTCGGTGCCAGATATTTTAGAAGGAGACCTGGAATGAAATATGTGTGATAGCTCAACAGATACATACGTGGAGGAACAAGTGGAGCTGCACGCTTTTCTCCTGTGCTTCTCAAGCTTGAACTCTCCAGTCAAGAGAAGAAAGGGCAATCCAAAWCCCATTTGTTGCTATTTAATGGGAATGTGAGGAGGGATCTACTGGAAGATATGGAAATTAGTCTGCTTACCCATAGGTAAAAACACTTCAGCAGGACCCACTGCACAGGGACCTGGTGCTGCACATATACCCTCATTCAACAGCCTCTGCACAGGCTGGACATGGACATCTGCTGTGCTGCTCACCACAGATGTCTGTGGGATCACCATGAATACCAACGTGTTAGACTCATTCTCCCCTATCTTCCCATGAAAAACATCCACCAAACAGCAAGGGCAACACAACCTAATGCAGGCAAAGTGGGGCCGTAGCACTGCTGTCACTCACCTCACTCAGCAGAATTTCCTGTTTACTTGGGATCAGTATGTGGCCCATCCTTCCTGCGGCACCAGGCGTCAAGATCCTCCACACACTGCTCCCCTCCTCCTCGGAGGCTGAACAAGGAGCCAGTGTTCGCTGGCGCACTTCGTTCTGCACTGAGCACACGTGGGTGTCCAGCCACTGCACCCAAACAAAGCGCCCAGCCTTCCAGAGGTCAATGTTTCTTCTTCCATGTGTTCACGWACTTTGGTGCCATATACTGCAAACTGCTGCATTTTGCCTGTTTTTGCTAGGAAAACCTGAGGGCTCGCGGGGGTTACAGGCAAACCTATCAATTGCCACATGTTGGCTGGAAAGGATTTGGAATCACAGCAAACCTTTGATGAACCTGGATTGAATTTCAAGTTTGCAATAAAACCTGCGAGTTTCCAGKGGTTTCAGGTTCTGTTGCAATCATTACATAACATCTCTAATGAGCCGCCATGCAAAAAAAAAGAAAAAGAAATTCAAAAATAGTCTAAAAAATCAGAAGAAATTACAATTATTTAAACAAAAAATCCAGCCCTGGTAGCCTTATCTGTTATTCCAAAAAATGCTTCTCGAGGTCCTAAGCCTCTATAAATGGACGTGCTTTTGCACATGCTGAATGAGGCCTTTATTGTGCCACATACCTGAAGCCTGGAGCAGGTGAGAAGATCCTGCCTCGCGAGCACGCGTTCCTGCGAGTTGTGTGTCTGCATTCGGACCAGCTGGAAAGCTCAGGCGTTTATTGCATGCGGAAAAAAAAACAGAGAAAACGGTGATATCCCTTATTCCCATTCCAGCTCCAACCAGGGAGACTCCACCGGCACTACGAGCCAGGCAAGTGTTGGCAAAGAGAGGGGAGGGGGAAAGAGAGACATCCTGACTCGGAGAGGCAGCCAGCCCGCTCCGCGCGCGGCGGTAGCGCAACGCCCGCGCGCCCAGCTACAGCGTGCTTTAAAAGCAGCAACGGCAAGGCACAAGAAGGAAAAAGAACACCCCCTCCCAAAAAAA